ACCAATATCTCTTATGATTATAAAGCAAAAAATTTTCAACAAAATACTGCAAATAGAATCCAGCTACATATAAAAGAGATTTTACACCAGGACTAAGTGGGATTTATCCCAGGAATGCAAGGTTGGTTTAACATATAAAAATCAATAAGTATAATATACGGTATTAATGGAATAAAGGACAAAAGCCATATGGTTATTATCTTAATAGATGCAGAAAAAGCATTTGACAAAATTCAGTGCCCTTTCCTGATAAAAACACTTAAATTTGGAAAAGAAGTGAACTTCTTCAACCTAATAAAGGCCATTTATGAAAAACTCACAGCTGACATCATATTAAATGATTGCTTGCCCCTAATATCCCACCTGCCTTTTTTGCAAAATTGACAATCTGATACTAAAATTCATATGGAGATACAAGCGACCCAGAATAGCAAAAATAATATTGAATAGGAAAATCAAAGATGGAGGACAGAACAGGGTTGGAGGACTAACACTTCCTGGTTTCAAAACTTACTATAAATTAAGATAGTGTGATAGTGGCATAAGCATAGAAATATAGATCAATGAAATAGAATTCAGAATCCAGAAGTAAACTCTCATCTTTATAGCCAAATGGTTTTTGACAAGGGTACTAAGATAATTCGATGGGGAAAAAATAGTCTTTTTGGTACAACTCTTTGGCAAACTGGCTCTATTGACTGAGGCTGAAATATGTACATACCCCATGACCCAGCAATTACTCTACTAGAAATGTTCCCAACAGAAATATGTGTGTGTGTATATATATGATCACCAAAATGTTCATAGTAGCACTGCTTGTTACAGACCCAAACTTGAAACCATCTTTATGTACATCAGACAATAGAATGGATAAAATGTAGTTATATTTACATAATGAAATACCACCATAATGAGAATGAATGATTTTCATCTACATGTGACAATAGGAACAAGTATTACAAACACAATGTTGTGAGAAAGAAGCCAGAAACAAAGAAGTTTTATCATTTAACTTATAGACAAAATTGTTCTATGTTGGTAGAAGTCAGGACAGTGGTTACCCTTTGCGGCAGGTGAGTAAAGTAGGAGGCGGAAAAGGGAGGCTTGGGTGCCGGTCATGTTTTATTTCTTCATCTTCGTGCTGATTACATGGCTGTGCTCAGCTCATGAAAATTTTTTGAATTGCAAAATTTTTTGAGCTGTGTGTATTATGTGTGTGTCTATTATACTTCAATACAAAAACTTTACTTAAAAAAAATCCTACCCATTGTCCCATGTTCTTTTAAAATACCCCTTCATTAACACTCACAAAGTCACAAAGTCTCTGGGATACCTGTAATTGGAGACAACTCTTACTTTCTTTATGATTTCATGGCACTCTGTGGAATTCTTTGATGACTTAGCCTCACCTAGAAACATCTATATGGAAAGAGCAAGAGCTTTGGAAACCCGGGTTCTAGTGCCAGCCATTGCTCAGGTGGGTGACCATGAGCAAGTCCTCCACAGCTGTATGGTTCTCAGCTACACACGGCAGAAAGTGATTCTGCTGATTTAAGCAGAAAAGGGGATCAGGTGGTTGCTGGAAACTCCAGAAGGCCAGATCCAGGCTCAGAAGTGTGCTGCCAACTATGCTGCCTAAAATCATATTAAAGAATTGGTTTGGTACAGACACCATTGCTGTTGTTTTGGCATAGCTCGCATAGCCAACTCTACAGGCACTGGGTTTGGACACTCAGTAATGATGCTGTATTGCTGCTAGAACCCCTGATATTACTACCTCTCGAAATGGATGGTGTCACATGCACCTGCCACCAGGGCAGATTCTGCACAGTTCCTGCCCCTTTATGTTATCAGTTTTAGTTTCAAAGTTCATGGCAAGAGTGTCTGGTTAGCAGAGACTAAGGTCATATGCTTCAAGGGACTCTGTGAAAATGAATATCTGGCCTTTTCAACTTTTATAGCAGGAGGTGGTCTTGCCTCTTAAAGTAGAGGATTCCCCTAATATGACAATGGTCACCAAAAGAATGGCTAATATCCATCGCATCACCCAAGGACAAGTTACCTCCCTGAGCCTGTTTTCTCAGTCACAAAATAGAGATGATGATGGCTCCTATGGATGGGAGTTATAAGGGTTTGAGGAGCTGGTGGGTATAAAGGGCCTATCACGTGCCTGGCACACAGTAGGAGCTGTTATGGTAAATATCATTTTTGGTGATTTGGGTTTATTCTAAAGTCTCCTACATTCCCACGGGTCCCCAAACGCTGACATCTCAGCACTTCTGGTGTTTAACTGCAGGCTGGGAAATGGAACGCCTTTTCTCCTATTTGAGCAAGTTAATTTTCTAACTCACAGAAGGATCTGTTGATGGCAGCCCACCTTTTCCATCAGCCTTCAAAGGGGATGATGCAATGTTTGAAAAGGCTCAGGCTTTCCCATAGGGCCTATTTACATGGTCAAGGAAAAGAGGTTTTTAGAAAAGTTATTTGTTAGCTCTTAATTGAAATCAACTCAACACATTTGATTTAAACCTTTTTATTTTTAAACAGTTTTCTTTAAGCATTTAATATCTTTTATTGATTCGGTGGCCAATAAGGCGGCATCTACTCAGTTAAGAAAGGCACCTGGTCAGACACGACACATAATGTGTTACATGATCCCTGCCGTGAAACCAGCTGCTGACTCCTTGAGAGCAGAGACCATGTCTTAATGGATTTAGTAGCACCTCAACTTATACATAGGAGCCCTTACAGGACATTTATTGAGTTATCTTCATTAGTTAAAAACAAAACACTAAAATCCTTTTGTCTCCCCCTCACCACTCTATTTTCCCCTTTCCTCCATTTCCAAGCCTTCGATTAGCAAAAGAACATATACTAGAGGATAACCCCAGGAAGATTCCACTGTGGGCAGAAGAGTCTAGTTCTAGAGCCAGAACATTAAAAACAATTTTTTAAAAGCAGAATATGTTTAGGGAAGCATGTCTGTTTGGGGCTTGAGGCCTCAAAGAAATGGCTTTGCCCTGGTTAGATGCTTCTCCACCCTTTGCTCCTTGGGCCTAAGCAGGAGAGTGAATGAAGCAGGAATCTTAGAGCTTGGATGGGTTGAGAAAGGGCTCCTTAGGCTGCAATCACAGAAGCCCAAAGGAGACTACCAAAGTAGCTTTGTCCCCTCTCTCAGCTTAGCAGCTAGACCCCTGACTTCCACTCAGACACACGTGCAGGGCTGTCCTCTTGTGCAGCACACAAAAGAATCCGTGCTTCTTTGAGCCAGGATGGCAGGAAGACTGTGCTATAACAAAGAGATGTACTTAGGAGTCAAAGAGACCTGGTTTTGAGTCCTGTCTTTGTGACTTACTAGCCGTGTGACTTTGGGCAAGTACTTTTTTTCTTTGAGTCGGAAATTCTCATCTGTGAATGGAAGAAATAATAACAGGATTATTGGGAAAATTAAATCCTATGAAATAACTTGTGTGAAAACACCTTGCAAAGTGCCTGGTATGTGGTGGATATTTAAACACAGTAGAAAGAAAAGATGGCTGGAGAGGAAAAATTAGTCAGTATTTCTCCAGAGCTACTCAAGTGAGTATTTTTATAGTGGTATGACATGAGTTGTGTGACCCTGTATCAGTCCTTTTTTCTCCCTGACGCTCAATTTCCCCTCAAAAGAGATGTCTGACCCCAAGAAGGAGAGACTCCTAGAATTTGAGGTTAAATGTCTGAGTGTCACTTTATGTAACAGAATAATGACCTATTACCTTGTTTTCAAGATGACATCAATTGTAAGATGCACAATTGATTAAAAAGTAGCTTTTTGAGTGGGAGGGAAAAACAAAGAAATATAACTACATTAATGGTCCCATCAATTGTAAGACACATTCTGATTTCAGAATCGTTAAAATGTGAATGAACATATGTCTCGTAATTGAAGAAAAACCATAGTGATAATGCTGGTTCCCATTTATTAAGTATCTATTGGGTGCCAGGCACTATGCTTGAGCTGCTTTTCTAAGTCCATGGCCTGTTATAATACCCAAGTGAGGCAGATATTACCATTTCCACTTCATGGTTAGGAAACTGAATATGGAAAGGCTGAGTCACTTTTCCAAGGCCACACAAGCAGGAAGTAGGGCTTGGAAGGCAGGTCTTTCTAATTCCAAAATGCTTTCCCTTCTCAATAGATTGTTTTCCAGGTTTAAGGCATCAGAGGTCAGCTCTCTATAGAGAAGTGGTCTGTGAATGTGGTTCTTTGAATATGTCTGAAATCCCTGCAAGGTGACCAGAAGAGACATAAGTAACATACATACAGTTGCAATCTAATCAGTCTCCAAATACTGGTGCTGGGAGGTAAGGTGTTAACAGGAGAGTCAAGGCTGCTTAGAATCCAAATAAAGGGGAGCCAAGAAATGAGAGTGAGTCAGGGTTAATCCAGCCATAGGAGGAAGGGGCTCCCTGACCAGCCACCAGGATGGTTCCAGGTCCACATACAATGCAACAAACTCTTATCCTAAAGGCCACTATTCCTCAAAGTCACCGTATTCCTATTACTCTGACTCTTTCCTAATGAGACAGAAACCTTTTGAGAAGAATTCAGTTTTTCAGTTTTTCATGTAACTTTTTTTTTTCTTTTTGGCAGCTGACTAGTAAGGGGATCCAAACCTTCAACCCTGGTGTTATAACTCTCAACATAACCTTTTTTAAGGAGGGAAAAATGTGCTGACCAATTGTCATGAGCTAGCTAGCTGTCATCTAGTGGTGGAACAAATTATAAGTTAATAAGCTGATTTTCTGGTTAGTTAGTTCAAGTTAGTTCCCCTGTGCTGGTTATGGGATTGAATACTTTGCTCTGCAAAGCTGTGGTTATAGTGTTTAATCTGATTTGAGCCCAGTGGTAGACTCCGTTGTGACACTCTAAGAAGCACGCCTTGATCCCTGACTCCTGACCAGAAGATTCCTGAGCTATAAGTCTGTCTGTCTGTCTAGCATGAGCCCAGTGGTAGACTCCGTTGTGACACTCTAAGAAGCATGCCTTGATCCCTGACTCCTGACCAGAAGATTCCTGAGCTATAAGTCTGTCTGTCTGTCTAGCTAGCTATAGCATTTGTGGGGGAAGAGCTAAACCCACATCAGTGGATTCCCAACATAACACTACCTCACCAGATGGCAAAAGGATGTTCCACAGCTTTTTGAAAAGGTGGCAGCAGGGATATGGACGTAGCAGGTGTGGGATGGCAGACAAGGTTGAGGATTGCCTGAAGCATCAGAAGTTGCATAAAAGATGCCTCTGTCGACCTGACCAGAAGGAATTCATAGCAAAGCTGCCAGAGAAGTGCACTTCTGGGTCTTGACTCTAGAGAAGGCTCTTTGGACAGTGGCGGAGATAGCACCAGAGTAGGAGTCACCGAGTCTCCACATGGACGTCAACAGGGCTGAAGGTCACAGCTGCAGGGTGTTGGCTGCTGTTGTTGTTTGGGCCCAGGACAGAAGGGGCGGCTGGCTTGGGGCTCCTGGGCTCTAGCTCCCGCCTCATCCTCATTTTCCTGTAAGGAGATGCACATACATGGTTGAGTCTTTGCCCTTGTATGCTGTGGGGAATGGGCTCTGTGACTATGGTTCTGGCAAGGAGATTAACATAGATCATCATTAAATCACATTGCTTAATTGCAACCACAGAATTTTACAACTGGAAGGGACCTTAGACATCACCTTGTCTGAACCTTCTAGTTTTTGTTTAAGTTAGGTTAGATATTTAATTTTATTTGTTTCTATTAATGAATGACTAAAGTATCAGATTGATGGCTATTTTAAAGACAAAATGGTGATAATTATATTTTTTCCATTCAGATTTGTAGTGTGAGTTTAATTTTGCAGCCTGATTATTCTTGCTAAGTTTATTGCTAGAAATATTTGAATACATTGTTGAGAAGAGAATGTACTTAAAATGTATATCCTGTCTTCCTTTCATATGCTGTAAAATTCAATAACTAACGGTAATCACGAATTCTAATATCTACATGATATTTCATCTTGTTGTGGTAGCATAATTCTTTTTTAAAAAGTTTAAATCCTCAGAAAAGTTGATCAAATAGTACAATTAATACTCAAATACCCTTCACCGTACAATGCACCAATTATTAACAATTTGCCACTTTGCTTTCTTTCCCACCTTCTCTCTCTCTCTCTCCATTTGCACGCACACAGAGTTTTTTTTAAAAGAAATCATGAACCGTTTGTGAGTCAGTTGCAGACATCATGCCACTTTGTGCCTAAATACTCCTAAGAACAAGAGTGTTCTCCAGCATACCCATGATTCAATGATCACACCTTGAGACACTTCCATTTTAAAGATGTCAAAATCAAGGCATGGAGAAGTTAAATAATTTACCCAATTTTGACAGACCAAAGACTGAACCCAGGTCTCTCAATTCTCAGCTCAGGCGTCAGTGTAAACAAGGTGGAGCCTGTGAAGTCTCCATCCAGATAACAGCCTGGAAAAGGGGCTCAGAGCCCCAGCAAGATGGAGAGAAACTTAGGGTACACACTGGGGTTTGATGCCATTCCTGGTTTTGGAAAGACCCAAATGGTAATACCCTAAGGATTTAAAAAAATAACTTCTAATGTCATTATTATTACTATTACATGTAATGGTGGGAGTATTTTCTTTGAAACCAGACCGACTGGGTTTGAATCCCAGCTCTGCCCACTAGGGCTAGCAACTTTGGGCATGTGACTCACTCTTCCAGTGCCTGTTTCCACACCTATAAAATTGGGGATAATAGCAACCTTATGGGGTGGTTGTGAGGATTGAATGACTTAATACATGTAAGGAGCTTAGAACCATGCCCAGCCGATGGTATACGATCTAAATATGTTAGTTACCTTTATAAAAAATATTCATATTATGGGGCCAGCCCGTGGCTCGCTTGGGAGAGTGTGGTGATGATAACACCAAGTCAAGGGCTAAGATCCCCTTACTGGTCATCTTTTAAAATAAAAATTTAAAAAAAAATGTTCTTATAATAATCTTCTTTACTACTCCTCAGAAATAAGAAATACCACCCCCCCCAGCAAAAACAAACAAACTAGCTTACTAACAGTCCCATCATTCAGACAGTGGTTGTTAACACCTTGCTGTGTTAACCTTTACATGTGTATGTAACCCATGTGTATGATCATAATGTACACACTGTTTTGTAAACCTCAACAATATTTTGTAAACAGCTTTCCTCATCAGTAAATACACTTCTACAATACCTTTTTGTTTGTTTATTTGTTTGCTTGTTCTTTTTTGGCAGCTGGCTGGTATGGGATCCAAACCCTTGACCCTGGTGTTATCAGCACCATGCCTTAACAAAGTGAGTTAACCGGCCAGCTCTACAATATCTTTTTTAAAACAATATCTTCCAGGGCCGGCCCGTGGCTCACTCGGTAGAGTGCGGTGCTGATAACACCAAGGCCACAGGTTCGGATCCCATATAGGGATGGCCGGTTTGCTCACTGGCTGAGCGTGGTGCTGACAACACCAAGCCAAGGGTTGAGATCCCCTTACTGGTCATCTTTAAAAAAAAAAAAAAAAAAAAAAAAGATAAAACAATATCTTCCAGGTCTTTCTATGATATGGTTTATTTACAGGATAGACTTTTAATTTTGATTTCTTCTGTGAAAAGAATTTCTTCCCTAGCAAAGTTGTGACTAGAAGGTTATAACACATAAGGTGATAACACATTAAATTTATTCTTTATGTGATCTAATTATATTATTCTATTTACTTTGTTTCTCCTTATTTGGTCCCAGAAAGTGCTTCCAGTATTTATCACCTCAAATACTTATGTGGCCTGCTCCATACAACCAAGCAGAGAGGTTTCTGAGAGAAGAGGACAAAATCATTCCTCTATTTTTTTTTGTTGTTGTTGTTCTTTTTGAGACCGGCCGCACCATGCTCAGTCAGTGAGCGCACCGGCCATCCCTGTATAGGATCCTAACCCACGGTGGGAGCGCTGCCGTGCTCCCAGCACCGCACTCTCCCGAGTGCGCCGCGGGCTTGGCCCAATCATTCCTCTATTATCTGTGAATTACAAACAAGTGTTTACCACGGTGCTCAAGGCCATTATCATTGTCATTATCATTATAATATCTAAAAAATATTTCTCCAAGTACAAAACTATTTGGTTACTGTGAAGTTCCTCCAGCAGAACAGACTTCAAAAAGGACCTGCAAAGGGTTAGAGCATTTGCTAATGGCTCATGGATACTGACCACACGACAGGCACCCACAAATATTAGTTCCCATTCTTTCTGACATCGCTGAAGAGACTGGACAGTTCCAAAGCCCACGGCATCCCATACCTGTTGTACATCTTCAGCAGAATCAGAACCACAGTGAAGATGATAATGACAACCACCACAACGGCAGCAACAATGGCTCCAGAACCTATGGAGAGGAGAGGAGAGGAGGTAGCAAATGTGCAAACTGAAATGCAAACTGGGAGGGGGCCCTACTGTGGCACCTGACATCCCTGCTGTGTCAAGGGAAGGACAAGAGATGGCGGCGTCCTGGGACATTCACTGCTGACCCCAGGACAGAGTCACATCTGGAGTGGCTGTGCAGCCTTACCCCCAGCTGGGCTGGAAGGACCACATCCCCAGCACATTGCCTGACAAAATTCTGCAGTAGGCCAACTCCTTCTCAGCCTCAGCAGGAGCTTCAAATGTCTTCTGTGAAGCAGACAAGCAAAATACCCTCTCCTCTTTTTAATAACACAAAGAAGTAACATATAATTTTTTGTAAATAATTTTGAAAATATAAATACAAGCAAAAAAAGAGGGGGAGGATGAAGACCTCATTACCCCAAGAACCACTGATCATCTACAAATATATACATTCACCGATGTGATCATTATATGCATATTAAATATGTCAATATTTAAAAATAATTTATTAATCTTATGTCTAAAAATCCATCTTAATAAGATATTTGTAAATACAGAAAAATCTGCACTTGATAAAAATGGAACTATGTTCCATATACTGTTTTATTTATTTATTTATTTATTGGTGACTGGCTGGTACAGGGATCATATACTGTTTTATTTATTTATTTATTTATTGGTGACTGGCTGGTACAGGGATCATATACTGTTTTATAACAATATCATAATCATCTTCCCTTGTAATTACATATCTTTCCCCATGATTTTTTTTTCTTGGGGTAGCTGGCTGGTACAGGGATCCGAACCCACGATCTTGGTGTTATAAGGCTGCACTCTAACCAACTGAGCTAACCGGACAGCCCGTCTTCATGACTTTTGATGGCTGCATAGTACCACACTGTTTGGATATACTAGACCTATTCACCAATTCCTTATTGAGAATATTTATGTTGTTTTCAATTTTTCACTGTTAAAAACAAGGCTATGATGAATGTCTCTGTAGCTTAATACAAGTATCTTAGACTCTAATTTCAATATCAGCTCCCAGTCCCAATGTCAAAATCTAAATTTTAGGTTCAAGAACGTCCTTGTCAGAATTGATATTGAAAATATCAAGGACCATAAAAATGTTCATACTTTAAACTGATGTGTTTGATTCTGGGGAATTTATCTTAAGGGAATAATCCTAAATATAGGAAAAGCTGTATGAATGAAAATGTTTGTTACAACATTATTCATACTCTAAAAATGGGAATGGTTAAATAAGGTATGGCAACCTATCCCATGAAATATTATGCAACAAATGATGATTATGAAAACTGGTAACTTGGAAACACGATGACATAAAGAAAAAAGAATAAAATATTATATACGAGTACACACCCAAGCATATGTATATACACATTTTGTTGCAACCATTAAAATACGTGCATACAAAGGTAATGTTGAGCAAAACAAGCCAGACACATGCTACCCTTTCCATTTATATAAATTTCAAAACCAGGTAGGGCTAACCAGGCAGAAGTCAGAATAGTGGGTTCCCTTGGGTGGGTTGGGGACAGTGATTGGGAGGGGCACCAGGACTTCCAGGATACTGGTGGTGGTCTGATTCTTGACGTGAAGACTGGTTACACAGGTGTATTCACTTTGTGAAAAGTCACCCAGCTGTACACTTACGATTAGTGCACTTTTGTAAAAGTACATAATGCCTTTACAAAAGGTTTACTAAAAAAAAAAGTGCAAATATTCATAGGAAGAAAGACTAGAAGGAAAAAAAAGGAGGGGGCAGGGAATCCATCACGGAGTAACTTGGATTTTTTTCCTCCCTGGGGAGTCTAGTGATGAGACTTTCGTTCAGGGTTTTTCAACCTCAGCTGGATAATTCTTTGTTGTGGGGAGCTGCTCAATGCATTGCAGGATGCTTGGTATCATCCCTGGCTTCTACCCACTGGATGCCAACCCCCCCATTACCCCCCAAGGTGACAACTAAAAATGTCACAACATTGCTTAATGACACCTGGTGATAGGGTTGCCAGATAAACAGATACCCATTTAAATTAGAATTTCAGATAAACGACAATTTTTTAGTATAAGTATGTGTCATGCAATGTTTGAGATGTATTTGTACTTACACTAAAAAATTATTCGTTGTTTATCTTAAATTCAAATTTAACTGGGTGTCCTGTATTTTTATTTGCTTAATCTGGTAGCCCTATCTAGGAGAACAAAATAGCCTAGTTGAGAACCACTACTTTTAGTTAAGTGAAAACGGAATTATTCCCATCCAACTGACAGAGTGATTCTCTGTAATCCACATTTCTCTTCAGAACTGTTCTGAGACACACCTCAGCAGGCCTCTGTAGATCTGTCCACCCATCAAGGAGCAGTATAACCCATGGGACCCTGTCTTGAGAGCAACCCCTTCCAGGTCTCCATGGAAGAGACTTGTCCTGCCATTAATCCAGCTGCCTGCCAGAACCACAGCCTGAAGCTGTTCATCACTGGGGGAATTTCTCCCTGTGTGCCAGGAAGCCTGTTCTATATAAAGGTATATACAAAGCTAACTGAAATGGCTGGAATGAACCTAAACTTCTCCTTATACAATCAATTGATTTTCTGAAGAGCTGTCTTTAAATTTTTCATCCTGGGACCCTTTGTTCCTGGCAAATATCTCCCTAGGACTAACTTCCAACCTACATTTGTTTACTCCTTCATAAGTCGATGAGATGTTTTTGCCTTGAAAAAAATAGTATGAAAGTAGCTACCTTTTAAGGTGACCCATTTAGAGACATCTTACAAGGGATTCAAATTTTCATTGCCCTTTAAACCCCAAGATTCCTTGAAGAAAACAACAGTAATAGTGGTAGTAGTAGTAATAATAATAATAATAATACTCATTAGGTACATAGTATGCACCAGAGCCTATTCTAAGCTCTTTACATCGATTATGTCTTTTAGTCCCCACACTGCCTTATGTAGTAGCTTCATTAATATTGCCAGCTTATAGTTGGGGAAACTGAGGCACAGAGCAGTGAAGTCATGTGCTCAGGGTCACACAGTTAGCAAGTGGTAGAACTGGGACTGAGACTCAGGCACTCTGTCTCCAGAGCCCAAGCTCTTGACTCTGTATCAGGAGTTGGCCGTGACACTTGTCCTGCCATCCCTCCCCCAGCCTCCAAGCCAAGTTGACCTTACTCTTATACAGAAAGTCTTCTCCCCTGGTGGTCATGTTCAATGAGAAGAATGTAGTGTCCCCTAAAGGGGTGGCTGTGGTCATCTTGATCCTGGTGAGAATGAAGAAGAAATTTTGTTTAAAACCAGAGTAAACCTTATTATTCCTGTACCATGCTTCTTTTGGTCTTCATCTGGATGACTGTAGAATTTCTAAACACACAGTTTCTCTCGGCGGCAGGTAAATACAAAACCCATTACTAGATACTGTGGACGAATTAAAAAATAATACCTGGCTTTGTTTTTCAAAGCAATTTAAATTCATTCAACAATATTTATTCAACTCCTCTTAACTGTGTTTCATACAAAATGTCTAAATCAATCTTCTAGAAACTATGTGAGGTAACTTACTGTTACCATTTTACTAATGAAACTGAAGCCCCATAAGCTACATGGAACCCCAAGTTTACCTAGTAGAATTTAACCCAGGACATCTACCTCCCATTCTAGTGGGACTTTTTCCACCCAGCAACAATGCCTGAAATGGTGCTCCTGCTTTCAAAAGTTTTACTATCCAAGGAGGGGAAAAAAAAAAAAAAGACAGATGAAAAATAGAAAGATGAGCCATTGGGCTGCAAGGAACAATTTCATGGAAGAGATACATTTGAATAGGCCATAAAAGACAAACATGGCTTGGAGGTAAGAGGAGAGAGGACAAAGGCCAGGTTGCAGAACCTTCGATGGCAAGAGAGTTAATGCATGTTGAGCATCTACCTTGTACCAGGCCCTGTCTCAGGAGCCTTCACACAACACATCACCTCATTTAATCCTCTCAATCATCAAGAAGTGATTATCATCCACATTTTGCTACTGAGCAAGCTGAGGCTCGGAGTGGTTGAGTGATTTGACCAAAGACACACAGCTAAGAAGAGATGGAGCTTGGACTCAAACATGCTCTGAGTATATAATGTATCTTTCTCCTCTGACACCACTAGGAATCAACATTCACAATCCTATAATGTTACACTTGAGGGGTGGGCCAGGAGGTATGCAGTTAATATGTCATGCTACCAGAAAGAAGTACGATATTGAGACCCTCCACCAAGAATTATATTCTAAGCACAATGATATTATAAATAATTGCTCTGAACTATAAGGATCAAGAAAAGAAGGGAAACAAACCAGGTTTTGCTTCACTCTATCAGAGTGGCACTTTCACTACAGCTGCTGACAATCTGGAGACCTGTGAAGAATCTACATAAAGAGAATTATCTAGGCCTACAAGGGTACATCAAAAAGTTCAAGGAAAAATGGAATTAAATATATGCTGTAGTTCTAGATATTTCTTAAACAAATACCAGTCTAGCACCTACTAAACGACCAATGCTGTTCTGGGTGCTGGGCATACACTAGTGAAATGAAAGAGACAAATTCCTTGCCTTGGGTACCTCACATTCTAGTGAGGGAGATGGACTATACATTTGATCGTGTCTTTCTGGGGCTCAAAAACCAATCATTTCCCCTTGCCTCCCATGTTTCTGCATATGGTAGTGAAAGCCCTTCACTGGTTGTTCAGCCTCTGTTTCCAGCCTCTCGGTTACTCACACCAACCTCGGCCAAATTGCTGTGGCAAAAGAACATTCCATCTTCCCCCATTATGCCTCATCTTTGCTGCCTCTGGGCTGGCTGCCTCAGGCTTTAGCCTCCCAAGAGTCCCCGCCTATGGGCTGCAGCTCCCCACTCTCCCAGCTCTGATGGAAACAGGGCTCAGCACCCACCTGAGACATCGACTGGGACCAGGGCATCTGTACCCTACTCCGGCCCTGTTGATCCATATGATGGGTTCTGCCTTCACCTTCTTTGCCCTCCTTTAAATCTAGGGCCCTTCCTGAGCTTCTCCAGCTCTTGTTTGTCCTTCCTCCAGAAGACCAGATCCTCATGACTCCCATGACTCAGGCTCCTGCCAGGAACCCCGTGTGGCTCTGCCTGACCTCCCCACACCTGCCAACCTGTCTTCCTGCCTGGGCTTCCTTTCTCCCAGTTGCCTTAAAGAAGTCCAGATTGTCCATGTCCCACTGCTCCCCAACAAAATGAACACATCCTTCAAGACTCAGCCCAGTCAACCCCTCAGGAAGACTCCCACCCAGACAGAATTCATGACTCTGTCCTCTACCCTCCCACAGCAGCACTCTGAAAAGAAACACCACCACAGCAAGTGCCTCAGTTACTTTGTGTGGCAATTAATGTTGCATGTTCACTGTCAGGTCCTGGAGGGTAGATACTGTTTCTGGTTCTTTGTCGTGTCCTTCTACGTCCTGCAGATAAATGTCTGGGTCTTCCCACCTTTGCCGATGGAAGGACTCGAGTAATTGGATTTCTCCCAGCTTCTTTGCCAGTCTGTAAAAGCAGGTGCTTTTCCCCAGGAGAGCTAAAGGTTAGCAGCAAGATGTGGAGAGAGTTCTTAAGTGCCCAATAAACAAGAGTATTACAGTGGGTATTAGTAAATATTTGCTGAACTAAGAGAGGGGGGATCTGGAGCTCAAAATAAGGAAAATTCTTTCTATAAAAGTAAGCACAAACAAATATGAGAATTTGGAGTGGAAGTCTCCCCATCCCTGCACTTCCCACCCCTACTCTCAAGGAGAGACACCCGCCCCCACTACCACTGCCCATCCCAGCATGTGAAGGGTATTAGTGTGCGTGTGCCTAAACATTCGCTTCTATCCCCACCAAGAGCAAGCTGAGAAGACTCGCCAATCATGCTTTCTTACAATTCCTTTTAAAAACAGAAAAGAGATGAAAATAGATGGCCACCAATCAAGGGTCTCTTAGTAAGAGAAACATGTCACAGTCACTAGATAATGCAAACCCTAACCATGGATACACCCACCATTAAATCAACATGAGCAAAAATGACAGAAGTCACCATCTGAGTGTCTGCCATGTGCCAAACATTGTGCCAGATATTTTTTATCCATGCCCTGACTTAATTAGCAAAACACTATGTACAATAGGTCTTCCTTTCCCCTTGTTTCAAATGAGGACCCCAAGACTTGGTGATATAAAGCTAACGCTCCATGCTCAATCAGATTGGAAGATGCAGAGCTGGTGTTTGAATCTGGGCTTTGCAAATTGCAAAGCCTGTATCCTTCCCAGTCACCACCCTGCCTCTGATACCCACTGAATGGGGTCCATGACTAGTCACTGTGAGAATACATGCATGCACGTGTGCACCCCCCTCCCCCACACACACACACTGACCAGTAATGCAGCCACCTAAAGCCAACAGGACACAGGCTCCTCTACAGATCCTTCAGATGTGACCTCCTGGGTGCCGAGTTCCAGGTGCAGACTCCCGTTCAGATGGGCCCAGCCACTCTTCTTTCTAAGAGAACAGTGAGTAACCTCAGAGCATAACTTGCCTCATCTCGCGACCGAGGGTTCTCAATGACATCTCTGTTCCTGCCACATCAGAGAAAGTGGGAGGGAGGGTGGTGGAACACTGATGGCCAAGGATGTGGGTGTTTTCATGTGTGGGCCCCCAGCAACTGTTATTAACCAAGCGAGGTCCAGCAGGAGGATTTTAGTATCAAACATGCCTACAGCCAGGGTCCATGGCTGTAGAAAACAGAGGAGAATATTGGGAGGGTAAGACCAGTTTTCACTGACAGAGGTTAATTTAATGATGATAATAATAGTAGTAACGTACCGTATGTCAGACACTGCACTCAGTGCTTTATGGGAGATATCTCATTTAATCCTCATACTTATCCAGTGAGGAGGGTGCAATCACTGTGTCCATTCTACAGATGAGGAAACTGAGGCTCAGAGCAGAGAAGAAACCAACCTAAGCTCACAGGGCCAATGCATAAGCTGTGCTAGGATTCAAGCCGGGGTCAGTCCAATTTCACAGTCCTTTCTCCATAAACCCTGACTTACATTGCTTCCCAGTGAATGCACGAGGTACAAATGGCCCAGGCCCCGGGGCCCAAATCAACATGGGACTTTGATGAGAAAACCCACACTAGCTGGGTTCAGCAGACAGAGCCAGAACCGTTGCCCTGGTTCCCCAACTCTGTCTTCTCCACAACTGGTCCCTGCCCTTGGCTACACTCTAAACCTCTATCTTTAGCTGAGGCTTAATCACATTTACAGAATCTACAAGGAACTGTTGTTCTCTTGGGTTGTTTACAAAGGGCCCTGTGTGGGAGGTCAGTTTGGGAAGTGATAGAAGGTCATGATCATTTACTCACAATCCATCTCTCTCTGACTATCCCTTGGTCAAATGTAAGAGCAGTATCTAGAAGATAAATTCTGCCAGACCCCATCTGTCCAAAATTTCTCCCCTACTGCTCTTCTCCAGTGGTATCCTCTTTCTGTCCTGGCTTAAAGTTTCATTTCTGGACAAGACAACAAAGACACCATCAATCCCAGAAGATCCCTCCTTAAATGACCAACTGTATCTGAGTTGTAACCCATGAATTCCTGATTTCTCCCAATCACCTGAGAGCTGGAGATTCAGCATGACTTGATCTCCTCCACAGACAACAGCCTCATTACTCCCAAGCAGCCACTTGAGTTATTGGGATGTTTCGATTATCAGAAAATTAACCTTCATGTTGGCACCTTGTAATTTTCACTCATTGGTCTTAATTCTCTTCCCACATAGTTAAATCTGCTACTTCTTCCACATGACAACCGGTCAGGGTTAAAAGCACTTCTGCGTATGAAACATTAAACTCAAACTGATTCCACAGATGGAACAGTTAGCTGACATCAGCACATCAATGTTACCTCCTACCAACAGGTGGCCATAGCAGTGGGCTATAGGTTGGTAAATGTCTTCAGGAGAGAAATTCTAGCTCCTTCTGGGTGGCTCTTGAGAATCCTTGACAGTGTTGTGATGGAGCACATTGTCCAGGAACTCACAACCCAGCGAGGGCTTCGGGGTCAGGCACACCTGGATTTTAATCTCAGCCTCATCGTTAACCAGCTTGATAAAGCCAGGCCACTTGAGGCCTTAGTGTTTTCATTTGTAAAACAGTGATAACAACTCTATCTTGTGGGGTTGTGAGAGTAAATGAGGTGCCATAATTGCCCAGCAGAGT